ATTTCAGAAAGATTGTTTGAATTTTTATTTTTGTTTGCATATGACATCAGAATTACTGGAAATTAGGATTTAAATCTTGATGTATAAGATCATGATTCTGATTTTTAAGCCTGGAAGACCACCATTATTTTTCATCAGGGTTTATAAGACTGCAAGTAGTGCATTTTGGAACATAAACATCAAATGCGTTTTTTTGAAAATATCAAATTTCTCTTGGCTTAAGCCATGCATATATGTACATGGATTGATTATTTAATATTTAAGTAAGAAAACAAAATCAAAATACCAATGCTAGATGCTACTCGACTTGGATTCAATTGGATTTAAAACAGGCCAATCAATTTGGATCATGGCAAATAAAGATGGTTGTGCTCTTGTTACATAGGGAGATGCATATAGATCTAAGATGGATGGAATTTTCAAGGAGATATATTGCTTGTGATTTTATTTAAAAGAGGTATTACTTGTGATTTTATTTAAAAGAGGTATATTACTTGTGATTTTTTTTTTAAAGGACATATTGCTTGTAATTTTTTTAAAGGACATATTGCTTGAACATATTGCTCGTATTTTTTTTAAAGGACATATTGCTTGTAATTTTTTTTAAAGGACATATTGCCTGTAATTTTTTTAAAGGAGATATTGCTTGTAATTTTTTTTAAAGGAGTATAGCCTATTGCTTTTTGTCCCCCGCCTTTCGAAGAAAGCAGGGGACTATTAAAATGGGTTCGTCCGTCTGTCTGTCCGTCTGTCTGTCTGTCCGTCTGTCTGTCCGTCACACTTTTTGGGACACAATAACTCTCTTCCTAATTGAGCTAGAATGTTCAAACTTGGTGTATGTGTTTATTAGGTCAATGCCTTGATGGAGTTCGAAGATGAGCATTTTCCGCTTAGGGTAAGCAGAGATAAGCAATTTGATTGGTTGATGCTTTGGGACACGATAACTCTCTTCCTAATTGGGCTAGAATGTTCAAACTTGGTGTATGTGTTGATTAGGTCAATGCCTTGATGGAGTTCGAAGATGAGCATTTTCCGCTTAGGGTAAGCAGAGATAAGCAATTTGATTGGTTGATGCTTTGGGACACGATAACTTTTAATTGAGCTAGAATGTTCAAACTTGGTGTATGTGTTTATTAGGTCAATGCCTTGATGGAGTTCGAAGATGAGCATTTTCCGCTTAGGGTAAGCAGAGATAAGCAATTTGATTGGTTGATACTTTGGGGCACGATAACTCTCTTCCTAATTGAGCTAGAATGTTCAAACTTGGTGTATGTGTTGATTAGGTCAATGCCTTGATGGAGTTCGAAGATGAGCATTTTCCGCTTAGGGTAAGCAGAGATAAGCAATTTGATTGGTTGATGCTTTGGGACACGATAACTTTAGTTCTAATTAAGTGAGATTGATGAAACTTGGTGTATAGTTTCATTACAGTAATACCTTGACTAAGTTTGATAATGAGCATTTTCTGCTCAGGGTAAGCAGAGCGATACGCAATTTGATTGGTCGAGACTTTGGAAAACAATAACTCTCCTACTTTGATTGTTAGACTATAAGTAAAGATATACTGTTTGATTGTTCAATACTTTGTAAAAGATAATTTGTGATAAATTTATATGTGTCCTCTAATTATTTTCCTATTTCGGCGGGGGACATCAGCCTCACTGTTGGCTTGTTATTTTTTAAAAGGAGATATTGCTTGTAATGTTGTTAATGGAGATATTGTTTGTTACTTTTAAGAAGCTATGTTTGAAAGTTTTTATAGTTTAAATTGCATGTAATTTATAATATAATTGGGGAATGTTAGCCAACAATTTTAGTATTGTGTGTAGGTATCAAATGTTGTGTGAACCAATAGGAGTCATAGTACAGGCCTGTAATTTGAATATACAGTGGATTGATATGACAACAGGTGCGAGACCAAACGGCTTGCTCTTCTTTCACATTCTGGATTAAACTCTAATCCTGTTGGCCAGGCACAGACTTTACAATTTTACCTTTCAACCCTTGAACCCTGTAACAATCTATCTTAGTGTTGTCTTTAATTATAGGACCAGAGGCAAGGGGTTAACACGCATCTATTATTTTTACATGAAAAATGAGAAAAGTCAGTTGGCCATATATTTAACTATATCAAAATAATACAACTTGAATGATTTTAGAATAAAAAAGTGCTTCTCATATTTCTATCGCATTCCTTCAAGGGCGAAGTAATATTTATTATTGCTTTCTTTATATACTTTTTATATTGTCCCGCTGAAAATATATTGTCACTCTTGATCGATGAGCCATATTAGAATGCATCATTGCTCCATAAGATTATTCCCAAATATGTGTTTAACCCTTAGTGCCAGGCATGTACATAGCTGGATTAAGATTTTGTAGGCCCCTGAGCTACAGGTACTGTTAGGACATTAGTCAATGAAAATTTTATCACTGGCCGACCCAATGGTATTAAATTGGCGCTATTAAAAGTTGCAATTACTTCGGACAACCAAATTTTTCGGGCAGACGGGTAAAGTGAGGAAAAAAAAAAAAAATTCTAAAAAGTGCCTGAAATCTGATGGCTTGTACGTGGTAATAAAACAATAATTTTGTTCAATTGAATACAGTAAATTTGTACTACATTAACTATGGATTAAAACTTTTTGTCTGGAGCCACTTTGCTTTGGGATGCATTTTTCTTTCATCAATTATTGTTTGGGAATCATAATTGATTTAAATTGACTAATGGATTAAAATTTAAAACATTTAAAAGCAGTATAATAAACAGTGTCTATAAACAGAGTTTTTCAGGCATCATAAATATTTGTTTTTCGGAAAGTGAAATTTCTGATGTCCGGTGAATGCAGCTTGAACAGTCTGAGTAATTCAGGTTGTCAAAAAGTGGAATTTCTGTTGTAATCCTATATAAAGTGGGCTATATTGGACCACTTAGAAGTTGTTGTACTCCCGACGTTGTTGTATTCCAGGTTATCATTATTTGTTTCATCAATTTGTCGGGAAGTTAAATTTCTGTTGTCCAATGAATGCAGCCAATTTGCACCTTTGCAGGCAGAGATCGTTGATTCTAAACGAGAATGTTTTCGACATTTCATTTATTGCCCCTTAACTTCAAAAATCCAGTTGCTGTGTACTCACAGCCTGAAATAGTAGAAAAATGCGATTGCTGTAGTCCAATTTTCTGCGAGAGGGGGCATAAACCCTTCTGGTGCCCTTCACGCTTATGGTGCTAGCTGATGACCTGCACCACTGACAGCAAACAGGAATTATTTCGGGCATTTCATTTCTGCCCCTTAACATTCATTGAGCCTGTTTGTCTGTGGTTCTTTAAACAAGCGTTCAGTTGCCTAATCATGTAACTGCTGCGTAATGGAATTAGATTTCTTGTTCTAACTTTCTCTGTGTTTCATATAAAATAGTCTTGATAATCCAACACCTTTCAGTCAGCCGAAGAACAGTTGGTAGAGTGGTTAAATGTTGTCCAGGTTGCCTGTGATGTCTACATGTCTATTTTTTTTAATGGACTTTAAATGGTTATAACTTATTAAATGCAACATTGCCGTGATGATGTTTTGTTGCCCCTCAACCTTTTTTATTTTGAGCTATTTATGAGGGAACTGAAATTCAGGGCCGTTTGTCTTGCTGCCATGTTGACCACAAACATCATTTGATATTGGTACTCTATAACACATAATGTAGATGGAAGCATTCATGTTGATCTAATAAAATTAATAACTGACTTATGGTACTAACCAGGGTAAGAACGGAATTAAACAATTTCCTCCAGATATTCATGAAAGGTTAGAAAGCAGAAATCGACAGATGCTTCTCATTTAATAATGTTACATGTTTGTTCACATGTGCTGATTTTACGCAAACAAACCTCATCTCAAACATACACTTCATTAAGTACTTATTGAAAATATCTTTTGAATAATTCAATCCACTATATTTTGCTTACTATTCAGCTATTGTACTAATTCACCTTGAATTCAATTAAATTTTCACCTTTTTCTCCCATGTCTTTTCATTCTTTTCACCAAAATGTAATTTTCAACAATTCGAAAGATTGAATCTATTAGTTAGATAAATTATATGTTTTGTGATTTGACATCTCAATGTTCTATTAAGTAAATGTGTATTTCTTGGCCAAGAATGAAAGGTTATTGTTTAGAAACTTATAAGCTGTCACACCCAAATTACATCTTTCTATTTAATTCAAAATAAATATATTTAATATATATTTTAACAGAGTTTGTTGTACTTTGATTAAAAAGGCTTCAAAATGCTCAATATGATGTTTATAGAATTTAAACATTTATATTTGTGGGAAATAAGATTGACTAGACAGACATATTTCTCAGCTGGAAATTGACTGGTAACCAAAAATTGTCAGGTAAAAAACAAAAAGTGACCCAATTAAGTACCCTGGTTAAAGAACCTTTTGAAAGTTCTTTCTTAATAGGGGGTCACACTGGCTCGCTAGCCTGGAGATCTGGTGTTCAATCCCTGCATTGGCCGAGAAAGTTCATCCAGATTTTCCGGCGTGGTTCCCCCTTGTCAGTGATGCAGGACGAAGGGTCTGACAAGGACAGCTGTCTGGTCGTTCGGACGAAAAACCGAGGTCCTGTGTCCACATTGTCGTGCACGTAAAAGATCCCTTGACAGCTGGAATTCGATATAAGAGTAGGCAGTAGTGCTGCTGACCGGGCAAAATTTCCCTCATAGCACACTATATGGCGAATGCCCGTCTTCATTAGCCCAGTTCGGAGCAGAACAGTAGGACGTTAAACTCCCATTTCATTTCATTTCTTTCTTAATATAAGTATAGCAAATTTCAATGAACAGGCTTTGATATTATTCTAGATATTACGTTATTCTTGTAAATACTTAAAGAGATCATGCTACGACCATATCATCTTATTCATTACTAATCTGTTTTGAGAATCAGAAAAGTTAACCAGTTTTCTAAAGATATGGACTTTGTTTTGTTATTACAGAAATTAATATGAGATAGTCAAGTTTCTTGGTTGTCAATCATATGGTAATGATAGGAAGCTCCACCCATGTGCACTGGAAGAAGGTAGGATCTGTAAAGAACTGTTTCTCTATTTCAAACCCAGTGGTAAATTCCATATCCTCTCCTCTACATAAGCATACAAGAAAAGATCAGTTTCCAGTTGGTAAAAACAAAGTGTTGAATTACAGCCAAAGTGGTAAGCACAAAATTAGATAGTCATCACCAGAAAGTCATAAATATTTTAGAGGTTGCATCAATGAAAGATAAGATGCTGTGAAATACAAGATTTATATAAAAGATGAAAAGATAACTAGGAATATTTGAATTTTTCTTCTCTATAAATACAGAAACTAGCTATTAAAATTCTTACACAAGAGTTCTAAAGTGGATTCCATTGAAATAAATGAAACTGTTAGAAATAGAAAATGAATGATTATTTTTCTGTATGTTAAATCAAGATATTTTGCAGGAAATTGTATATAACTAGTTACTAGTTCAGACAGGCTTAAAATTAACTATTATTAACTATTTCCTGTCAAATTAACTATTATTTATCACAAATATACAGATAAGAATGTATTATTCAATATATTGCCTGTATAACAATGTGTAAAACAATTAAGAAACATTGTCCAGTATTGCTTGTCATATTTACATTAGGGAGGTTGGGTGATCTAGTGGTGTAACGTGTGCGCATAAAGTCAGTGAGTCAAGTGACGTTTGTACATGACAAGTAGTAGGGTCGCCTGTCCAACCTTGTGGGTTTTCTCCAAGGCCTCCGGTTTCCTCCCACTGCTAAGGACCCCTGTGCACAAGTGAAATCTTGAAATGAAAATTAAGCCATATATTAGTCTTGAAATGACCTAGTGTGTGTCAAGTGGACGTTAAACCCCATTTTTCTCTCTCTCTTTACATTAGTGACACAAAGAAATCTATTGAATATCTGTGATTTTTTTTATGATTTCTCTTCTAAAGTTATTGCTCTTTATATTTGATATTTGTCTAGGATTCCTTGGATCTTTTTATTATAAAATTGTGTTACTGATAATCACCAGCAAGAGTGTTATTTGTCATAAAAATTAGAAAAATTATGAATAATTGAAATTTGTACAAATTGACACAATACCGACAAGGAAGGACTATGGCTAACACTGGATAAACTATTCATAAAACCAACAGACAAGTTACATGTGTGATAGATAGCTAAGGCATGTAAGTCCTAATAGAAACAAATCAATAGGATCATAAAATTGGATATGATACATGTATTGATAAATGTTGCTTACTGGATTTGAAAAAAATTCCACTAGATTTGTTGATATTCAGACACCTATGTATAAGCTGATCTGTAAAGATGCTTTATGTATGATTGTAATAAAAGCTATAATAGTTTAAGAATACACAATGAAAAATGAATAATAATATTGAAAATTTCAGTCAAATTACTTTATTTTGAGCAAGGTTTTAACTGTTTGGAGTTTTGACAAGAAATAGCATAAATAGTCTCAATTGTCAAGTACTGTTGCTACGATAATAAACAAAGTCTCGTTTAACTGTTAGACATTTCTAATCCACTCAATATCTCAGCCATCTGATTGTCTAGAGAGTTCATTATGGGCTTGTTATGTGAATATATGTCTAAATTTTAATTTATATAACATTTGAACCAGAAACAAGACTTGCAATAGGCAGATTTAGCTCTTACATAATGCATTTTAAAAGACATCGGCATTTTTCAGTCAGGAGAGCGGTGCGTTCATAGGTATCCTACTTGAAAATGCAAATTTCCACAAAATTAATGAAATGTGTATGTCCAAAACTATGCAAAAGCTGTCTTGAAAACCAGACGCGCGCTGGATTATTTAAACACTTTATGCATTATTTGCAACTTTTCTGATTTTACTTATTGTAAATTAGATATTCCACCAGGAGCTATAATGATTGTAACACTTTTGTTTCTTATTTGCTGTACACATTCAATGTAAATTCTTTTCTACAGGATTCTAAAATTTGAACATGCACTTACTATATAGGCATGAAGAAAAATTACATTAACGACATATTTTTCGGGTTCTGTGTCAGTATTTCGTCATATACTCCTCATCAACTTTTGATGTGGACATAGTATGTCATTGCCCATGTCCAGATGTCCGTTCACATTTGTTTTTGAACACTCTATGTATCACAATTTTTATATGCCAACATTTTGAGGTGGGCATATTATTATATGGTTACCTCTGTCCATCCGGATGTCCATTCACATTTGTTTGTGGACACTCCTTAATAGGTTTTTACCCTTAATTAGTTTTTAGTGTCTTTTAGATACTCCCATTACCTACAAAACAATAAATATGCGACAACCCTTCTGGATTGCTCGCAAGACCTAGTTGCTGTGGGCGTATGTTTTGTTGCCCGGCAACCTATCTTTGATAACTTGTTGAAGATCTTACCACATGGTTGCAATCATGTTAGTAGTTTTTGTTAACTATAATTTTATAGTTATCATTTAGCTAAATAATTTCTCAAATTTATTGTATTTTACTGAGAATTTAAATATTTAGGCTGACAAGGTTGTGTGGTTTAATATGCAATTCTTATAGCTAGGTTGTAGGGTAGAGTCTTTAACCAATTTACAGTGAAGATGAAAAATGTATACAGGTAGAGAAGAAACTGATTCCCTTATCAGCAATGGCTATTGCAAGATGAAACACTTGTCTTAATGAGGCTTGTTGGAAAAATATGTGAAATTTGACATTGATAATGAGTACTTACATATACATGTATTATAAATATATCATATTTAAATTCTACTTTATATACAACCCCATGTTGTGAAAAGACATTTATGATGATTTGATTTTTGCAAGTAGTGTTTTTTAAAAGCTTGTTGTGTCGTATATATAAAAGAAATAGATATATTTGTACATATGATACATCAGTCTAATGTTGTTAGGTGGAGCCATTTTGTAAATAATGGACATAAAATCAGCAGGGTGCAATAAGTTTTATGAAGGTTGTCATTATATCCTGATATTTCATATTTTCTTCCATTATGGCCAACTAGAGTGGTATTGAAAAAACTTGATGCGTAAAGGTATTTGGGATTCAGGTAAAATGATTGGTGTGCCTGAAAACAGGATTGGTATTGAGTAGTTGAGCCATGGGTGAATGAACAGCCAAAAGCCAAGTATTTCTCGTAAAGAAATAGCAAAAAGAATGTCTTTTGAAAATATAAAAAAAAAGTAACAAACCCATTTTGTTCAAGAAATGAAAAGATGATACGAAAAAAAAATATCGCAGTAACTATTTTATTTTAAATATCTTTTACCTGCCAATTTTTAAAAAAAAATCCCCAGGTGAAATGTTTTTAAAAGAGTTGGGATATTGTCCTAGTAGTGACTCATATATATTTAATATCATAATTTAAAAATGATTCATTTAGATGATATTATATAGAGATGATGGTAATGATAACATTCAATAAGACATCATTAGATATTGGTATGAATTATTTTGAACATTTTGCAAATTTGTTTTCTTCTCGTCATAGTACATTAATAATTTATAAATCTTTCAGTTACCTTATTTGTATGGGAGAAACAATATTGTATTTTATTGGACTATTTAAATACAACTGAGATCATTACTACAAATATTTTATATTTGATTGATAATAGAGGAATATATATTTGATTACGACCAATGCAGGAAAAATCAACATCTTTACAATCAAACCTCTTAGCTGAATGACCTGCAAATGAAGCATATTGGAAAGAAAAAAGTTATGTTGGCCAAACACATTCATGTTGTTCCTGTCAGTGCATCATTTGTCCTTAATTTGTTGTAAACACTCTACAGACTTCTTCTATCATTTAGTATTCCAATATGTTGCTTACATTAGTGAGACAAAGAATCAAGTTTAATTTCAGCGATTTCCGGTAATGGCTTCCAGGGTTATAGCCCATGATCACATTGTGGAATCATGGGAACATCAATAATTTGATGCCTTGGTTCTGGAAGGTTGTAAGTGTCACTTATGACCCAAATAGCTTTTTTTGCATAGGATGATCATATTAGGATCACTAATCACATTGGGGGGCTTCTCTATGCAAAATTTAGAACTGTAAGGTCGTAGCTTCCACATAAAAATTGCTTTTAAAAAAGTTGATATTGTAACTGTGATATATAGATCGGAATAGGTTTCCCTCTCATATCTCAAAAACTGAATCTGACAATTTTTGAGACTTAACAACTTTCAGAACTATGCCATCGAATTATCATCTTATATATTTGAAAATTATATACATTATTCTATATTATAAATTCATATATATACATTATTCAAATTACCATACTGATATATAGAATCCTATCAAGTTTCATCAATTTGTGTTAATTTGCTGCAAGAGTTATTGCCCATGAGTTTCAACAGCTTGGGTTGATTACTTCTACTGGTAGTTCACTTTGTAAACAAGAGACTTGGACAAACCTATTACAAATTCAATCAAGACACTGAATGATTATATCATATTAGAGATATGAAATGCCATTAAAATGTTCTTTAAATGGAAATTAGACCCGATATGTCTTCAGATTTTACTGGTGCTAGACTATTTGGTTTTCCAAAAAAAAAAAAATCATGTATTCTGTAGAATATGCAGTTTTGCTGTTTATAGGTGATTGTAATATATAATACATGTGAGTCAGCATAGACTCATTGTTCAAACCTGGGGTATTTTTTGCATTAATTTCATGTAGACAATAATTTGATGTTTAACAGTACATGTATATAAGTTATAAAACAATCGTGAATATATTTGGTTGTGTCTGCATGGTTGTAAAACATGGTTAGAAATGGTAGGATTTTTTAAGTTACCGGTATATATGACAGAGTTACCTTCCACCTACCACATAGAGACAATATGTTTATAATTGTGAGATGAGGTTGTTATGTTTTTATAATGTTTTTAATGTGGTACTAGTAAAATGTGGTGATTGTTTAAACTGCTATAGCAGTAAAATAACAAAACAACATTATCAGGCTTATATAGCCTCTATTTTACATGGACACCATTTTATTAGATGCCCATTTAACAAACACTATATGGAAATGGAATTAATTGATCGGTTGTGGATCCAAATGGATGTGGTTGTAGTGGGAGCTTTGCAATACCACATGACACTTACTGTTCCATG